AACCATCACCCATGTATCCGGTTTTACACGTACAAACACCATTATGACAGTTGGCATCGTAATGACAGTGTACCAGTGTACACGGGTCTGTGTTAACATTAGAAATAATACAGATAATTTACTTTGAAATTAGTGTTGCAAAATGAACAAATAAACATTCATGTGGAAATAAGATAGCAGTGGTTTAACATAGAGATAGTTAAAGGTTGCTGACATTAATAAAAGAAATTATATCCAACTAATTAGTCTCTTCTATTGTTTCAGTGACGTTTGGTTTACCACTAAATATGGGTCTATTTCGTAATATATTAGAAAGTATACCTATTTTGGACTAGCACTAAATAATTATCAGACTGGGACATTTCTGAGTAGAAAAAATCATACAAGCTACTCAACTAGAAATGGAAATTCTGTTTAAGAAGAAAGAATACAAGTTTGAGAAAATATCCAGTCGACATACACTGAAATCTGATTTAAGACATCGTTTGGTGAGTGAGGTTTTAAACAGTAAAGTTGTGAGACTGGCCTGTGAGCTAGTGGAATACTATTTGTAATGAATAATATTACTAGTTGAGAGATTGCTGCAGGTTTGCTTTCTGGTGGTTATAGCCGCAAGGTTGCTTATTTATTCAAAGCTCTTACTAATTACTTCATCTTCTGCACTAAGAAAAGTCTTTATTTGTCTATTTTAGATAAGTTGATTGTACAAGCCGAGAGAATTCAGGTTATAGGCTTGTATCTTTCAATCTCATTTCAGAATGAAACGACTTAAACTGTTATGTTTGGTGGAAGGTCCATAGGTAACTGTGACAATTTTATTTCATATACATTGATTAAATTACATCTCATACTGAATTCACGACTTCTACGACTTAGTTAGGCAAATAGAATGTATCTGAACCACTGCAGGACAAAATCCAGTTATCTACTCGTCTTACTCACCGACTTCGATACGGCGGCACTCATGATAACCGTCTCCTTCATATCCATAACGGCACCGACAACTACCGTTGATACAATGTCCATAATGATGACACTGGACATATTCACAGGGATCTATATTAAAGTTATTGACATAAGTTACACATACGCGTATTAGTATATAAATAAGCTCTTTTTCGGGGAATTAGGCATTCCGCATTCAAAGGAATTTAGTTAGGAGAGAAATTTACGAGCTTCCAGTTAATTTAAAATATGACTTCAGAATTATTGAAAAAATAATATATCAGTAGTTGTGATGATATATATTTATATATATATGCAGATTAGTATAATGAATGGTAGATATTAATGATAATGATGACAGGTGTTATTAAGTAAACTGACTGTATATTCCATTCAGTGCAAACAGTATTACCATGCCAACACGTTCCAAAATTATATACACAATGCTAATATATTAACATTTCTATGAATAACTTTATGAAAACGCAATTTATGAGAAAAGATGTTGCTAATGTTTCTAACCACTTACCATAAATGATAGGTTCGCAAATTTGATACCCATCACCTCTAAAACCTGGTTTACATTCACAGTATCCATTTCGACACTTAGCCTGTGGATGGCATTTAACCCTAGAGCATGGATCTTCGTTAAAGAAGTTGATGAGTATAAGAATGGTATTTTTATAAACATCATGTTATTATTCTCTCAAAAAATGTATGGTTAGTTAATTATACTTGAAAAAGAAAATTTCAAGTGAAAATGTATGTTGAGATGAAGCAGCACCATATTTAAGCCAGAACCAATATTATGTCTATTATTATTGCTGTTCCCTTGTGTTACGAGTGGAACACAGGGCCTCTACAACAAATCTCCACTTTCTTCTCTTTTCTGCCGTCCTCTTCACTAGGGTCCACGATTCACCAGACTCTCTCATCTCTTCCTTACACGATCGCCTTAATGTCACCCTCGCACTGACATCCCACTCGTCGCTTCCCAATGGGATTCGACTAGAAGAATAGCCTGCACTACGCGCGATGTCAATCGACAGTTTCCTCAATCTATGCCCGATCCATATCCATTTTCTTCTGCATATTTGTTGACCAATCGCCTCTTAGTTAGTTTGTTCCCAGCCAGAGTTTCTTGTTACTTATTCTTTCTGGCCAGCCATTTGATCTTTAGTACGGGGCTAGAGAAGGCAGATGTTGATAAAAGTCTGCGACCTGCTGGAAATCCTTTCCGTGACACGCAGTGCAAGTTTATCCCCTGTATAGAAGAATCCACTTCATATTTGTGTTGAATAAAATCCGAATCATGTTCCTTACGCTGACTGCGGAAGATTTCCAAACCCGTTTTAGGTTGATGAAGGCGTATCTTGCCTTTCCCATTCTAGCTGACTTTGACATCTTCGTCCGTTCCGACTGTAGTTGGATCCATGTTTCCCAGATAACTGAAGCAGGCAACCTCATTCAAATCTCTCCCGTTGATGGTGATAGGTGCTGGTTGTTGTCGTTGTTGCGGTTCGTTGGTTATCTTCATTACTTCCGTCTTCTCCATGTTCACCAGCAGTCCTGCCTTCGCTGTCCACCCCTTCTCGCAGTTTGTTGGTTTTCGTCTGCATGTCTTCGAGTTTGTGTGACATTAGACATATATCATCTGCGAGATCCAAATCTTCTAGAGTCTTCTTATTGGTCAGTGCGGCGTATTCCTGTGTCCTCGCTCTTCACAGTCCAACGCGTAATCCAGTCCACCACAATTAAGAATATTATCGGTGATAACAGACAGCCTTGTCTTACTCCTGTGTGCACTTCGAACGCCTCGCTGAGTTTCTCGTTGTGGATCACCTGAAACGTGACACTGTCATGTAGCCAACTGTTGAATGAGGTTAATAAGGACTTATGAACTTCACACAGTAGTACTGAAGTAGTTTATTATGACTACTGTTTAACAGAATCACTTCATATGGACAACTTCATCTCAAAATAAATTTTCAGTTGATTCGCTTAGACCAGGACTAAAGGACACAAAAGAAGAGAAAATCATCAACCATATCACCAAACTGTGACGATCTAGTTAGTCTACATATTTGTACCGCTTAAATCACTGCTAGGACTATAGATGAAAGCAAAAAAGTCAAATTCCGCTTGAAAGCAAACATCGTGGTTAGTACAATTTTAGTCGCTTTTAATTTTTCTGAACACTACACGCAAACTAAAATGTGATAATTTAGAAATTTGAGACTCACTATTGTGAAACTTTTACCGAAATTATGTTTCGCGTTGGATAAATACATAAATAAATCCAATTCACTAACTGTAATCCAAAGTCTGGACGAAAATTAAATAACTACAACAATATTTATGTTACATGAATCATAGAAATCTGTTGTTTTCACTTATGCTGATTGAAAAAATTCAGTGGAAGAAACATCCAGCTCATCATATCCGTCTTACGTGATTAGAAATGACTGTGCCACTGCTTAGCTGGTTACGTTATTGGAACTTATTCCCTGATATAAAAAATGTAGTTATTATTATTTAAGTTTACAAAAATAGCTTTCATAGTTGAGTATATTTATTTGCCATTTGTTAAGAGGAATGACCTTAATTTAAATTATTGAACCGTATGAAAACTGTACTTAAGCAATGCTTGCCACTAAAATTATAGAAGGTTCAAATCTTACAAAGAATAAAACAAAACGGTTTGCAGTGATTTGCTAAGCTTATTTAAATATAACAAAACCAGATTTCCCCCGAGAAAAAAATACCTTAGCGTTCTTCATATGCACAATACAAAAAGAAAGAGGATTGTAACTGTTTGATCTTTTATCTGAAGTATCAACAAAGATTCTTTGACATCAGAGCAATTCAAAAATTATTTTTGATGTAGGAAGTAATCTCATGTTCCCAATGCTTAATAATGATGAATGAGGTATGTCAATCCCTAGTTGTCATAAAATTTAAGGAAATCAACATCACGAATATGGAAAAACTGATTAGAAGTCGTCTGATGGTGAAACTATTTGAGACGAATTTTTGGTTGGGTGACTGTTATTGATTTAGTAGGTAGTGAGTGGGGTGAAATGAAAGTCTGGGTCGCTACAGAATTCGAGTCTATGGTCTCATTCATCTTTGACAAACATGACTAGTCTATTTTTCGGAAAATCATTTATACTCTGAATTATTTAGTACTTAAAAGATATCAAAGTATGTACATTTATAACTACGAGTAAACTACCGACTTTTCTGTAGAGAATGTCAATTTTTATTAGAAATGCCCAACAATATGGATGACTTCAACTCAAAACATAGCTAATTAATTCTTATCCTCGAAGTTTCAAATAAAACTTATGCATCGAATATCTTATAACTCTTTATATGTTTGATTTTTGAACTGAGATGCATCATGCAAGTATACTTTTATGTGCGAAGGTTAAAAGCTCGGCATTTTGATAAAAACAAAAAAATGAAAAACGGAAAGAATCACCATATTCTGTTTATCAGATGGTTATTAAAATGCATAAAAGGGTTTCGCAAATAAATTAATTGTATCATCTCAGAACAGTGCTCTTCGTGGGACAATTTAAATAAGGTCGAATGAGGAAGTGGGGTGGGGTAGCGAACTTACCATAAAGCTCAGGCTTACAATCATAATACCCATCACCTTGAAAACCTTCTACACAGTAGCATTCTTCGTTACGACATCGAGCATTCGGATGACAGCGTACTTGAAAGCACCGATCTAATAAAGTGAGAGATATTATGCATTCCCAGAAAATTAATTTCTGTATAAATTTTTATCAGAGGAGTCCAAAACAGGAGGGAAGTTTGGCTTTCCTATGACATTTAAGTTAGTATTCAAAGACATTGCAGTTACTGTTCCTAAGATACACATTTATTTTGAAAACAACCCAGAAATTTGGTAAGTTCTTCAAAATCTCAAACGTGTTGTAACTTAATAATTGTCTTTATATTAAATTCAGGCAGTTCTGTAGTAATGATTGCATGAATCAGAAAAAAATAGACACAAAATTTGTATACAATGATTTTAAACTTGCCTCTCTCTTCATAGCACTTTATAACCGGATCCCCTGTGTAGCCTGGTGTACAAACGCATGCACCATCTTGACAGAATGCTTGTTCTCCGCACTGAACACCTTCACACAGATCCACGCCGCTGGGTATACAAACACCACTTTCACAGATTTCATTACGACGACATTTGGAACATGGATCTGAAGTGAAAATTTAAATTATTTAACGATTGTGATATGAGACATTGACTATTTAGAAAATGATACTGACTGCTGATATATTTTATAAAACTGAAACATACGTCCAGTAGTCACAAATAAGTACAAATCAGAATTTCTATACAGAAGAAATTATTAGTGATATCTTGATGAGAAAAGAAAAATTCCATGTTGTTTTGCGCTAATTTAAAGAATTTAAAATATACAGACTAAGAGATGGATGGTAAATTTAACCAAGTACCAGTTATTATATTTCATTCAATTAGTTAATTACTTGTTGCAATCTCTTCTTCCTACGAAATATGTGGTGAACACGATATCCTCGGCTTCGCGATTAGCTTTGAAAACGCAGATTTTTATCAGCTTGTGTACAGTTGTCTTAGATGATAAATACTAAAAGGAAAATCACAAACTTTGCTCTATATTCGTTAGTTGCTAGCATCCTAATTTAGAGTTTCAGTTTCATTCTCTTTAGGTATCCTCAGCCAGATGTGCCTGGGGCCTTATTGGGTAGTGGCGTTCCTAATAAAACTCAAATCAATAAAATTATTCAACAGGTAATTCAAAATACTCATTTCAACAGAGTATACTTGTAAGCCGCATGCACCCATAACTCCTCTGTGAATTGATTCTAAGACTTTCGGATTACGAGAAGAGTCTCTTAACAATACACGATACTCTTTTGCGCCTCCTAAAATGCCTGAAAGATATGTACACAATTTTATGTTTTGGCTGGATTAGATGTGCGCTTCTGTAACTGTTGGTAGTCTTTAAAATTCATAAGTAATCAAAAAATAACAACAAAGAAGTGCTGAGACACATAAAATTGTCGCCAATGGAAATTAGTGTTGATTTGCACCGATAACATATGACTTTCCACATAGTACTCCTAGTATTAAAGATATATAGGCTAATCAAAATGGATAAGGAAAACTGCAATCATAGGTTAATTACTGTAGCATCACCAAACTTATTAAAGAGACTAGCGGGAATTAAAGGTCAAAAGATATGGTAGATAATGGCAAACAAATCTGTGCTTTTCAAGTATTGGTTTTATAAGGATTTTGTTTGATTGAATGGAGTATTTCATCATGAGCTGACATCAGTTAGAGAACCACTGGAAAACCTGGGAGCAATGGACAACTGTTTCGTCCAAGTTTGGAACTCTTCGTCATTACGCACCCACTGAGCTCCCCTTGTAACCAGAAGGTCCTGGGTTCGAATCCCGGTGGGTGCGTACTGATGAAGAGTCCAAAACTAGGACGAAACAGCTGTCCAGTACTTTCACGTTTTCCAAGGGTTCTCAAACTGATGTCAGCTCATGATGAAATCCTCCATTAAATATGTGCTTTGTTCAAAAGCTACAGATCCAAAATTGACGGGTTTCTCTATGACTAGTAACACTATTAACAAAGAGGAGCTTGAAAGAATGAAAAAGGAATTATGCAGAAGAAAAGGAAAACACTACAAATCTAATTAAGCAAATGAGAGAAATTCTAAATATTGTACGGCTGACTTAGGTCACACTTCTACCGTTGGACGGGGGATTTAATGAGTAAAGCTTAACTTAATGTGTTCTAAATATTATTATTCCTTATTTTAACTTCTAAGACCACTAATATGCGTAGAAGTAATTCTATTATCTCGCAGTGTTTCACTTAAATGACAAATGTTCAAGGAGGATTTATGAGAGAAAACATTTTTACTCAAGTAACCAACTCTACAGTCATTTTGAAATAAATTTTTTCAGAGCATTTTCTATTAGTGAGGAGACTTTCTTATGTGTTATTCATTCTGATGATTTGAATAAGAACACTTATGTAATAGCTGTATACCTCAGAACCTTAATGTATTCTATGGGAATTTGAACTTGAAGAATGAAGGTGACAGTATGATTATACCGTCAACAATGACGTGTATGCAGACGTATTAAGAAGCTGACTGTGTTCTACTGACCAAGTGATTGGAGAAATGTGCACAACAGTATTAATCCATTCAACTGTTCGAGTTTCTTATAGAGAAAACTTTGATAAGTAATTTTAATAGTCTTCAACAAATTGGAACTAGTTTCTTATTATGTATTTTGGTACCCACATGACTATTAGAAAACTTGAAAGACATCTAACCAATTGTACGCTAAGTTATGAAAATGTCCACATTTTAGTTTCACTGTTAGTGCCAGTTAACCAGTAAAATAACCTATTAACATACAGAGAATCTGAATTTTCATAATACAGATTTGTGTGTTTGCATGTCATTGTATCAAAATAAAATCATAGTAAATTAATAGAGCATTATTGTTCCCTTAGATTTTGAGTGGAGCATAGGGCTTCAACAACACATATCCACTTTTTTCCCTTTTCTACTCTCCCCTTCAGCTCGGTCCACGATCTTTCATCTCCTCCTCATACTATCTGCCTCATGTCACCCTCGGACGACTCACTGGTCACTTCCCAATGGGATTCCACTGCAGTGATGGCCCGCAACGCTCGCGATGTCATTCGACGGCCCCCTCAACGTACTTCCAATCCATTTCCTTTTTCTTCCTCACATTTGTTCAGCAATTGGCCTTTGGTTGGTTTGCTCCCAGAGTTTCTTGTTGGTAGTTCTTTCTGACCAGTCATTTGATCTTCATTATGGAGCCAATAAAGGCAGGTGTTGATGGAAGTCTGCAGTGACCTGTTGGAAGTGCTTTTCTGACTCGCTCACCAGTTTTCTGACCTATATAGAAGAACTGATTTAACATTGGTTTTAGAAATCCGAATATTGTTCTTTGCGCTGTGGAGTGCAGCAGATTTCAAAATTGATTGCAGAGTGCTAAAAGTCTGTCTCGCCTTTCCGATTCTGATTTCAACATCCTCATGCATGCTATCTGATTGTATCTGGAACGATGTTTCCCAGATAAGTGAAGGTAGTAACCTCTTTCGAATTTCTCCCGTCGATAGTGATTAGTGCTTGTTATTGTTAGTGGGTTAATTTCATCACCTGTCTTCTCTATGTTCGCTTGAAGTCCTGTTTTTGCTGCTTCTTCTGGTAATCTGTTGAGTTTTACCTGTAGATGTTTGAGTATCAGTGACAAGGGACATCGTTACGAAGACTTCAAAGCACAGGAGAATTTAGTGAACACATGGAAGACTTAAACCAGTTTTTCTCCTCATATTACTCTAGTCTAAAGGCTATAATTTATAAAGAATTCATTCAACGATTTCGTGTAGGTTTTCATCCATTGTCATAATCTTTTTCATTTATGGAACCAAGGAAGCATGCAGTGAAATAACTGTAAACTGAGGATTGGAAGAAAGGATACTTATTCAAACTACCAAGGAAAGGAGACTTAAGTCAATGCAAAAACTGGCGTGGAATTATGCTCCTGTCCATCCCAAGCAAAATACTAAGTCGCATCATCCTGGAGAGAATCAAACAAGCCAAACTGGATGAAAACTTGAACCGAAACAAGCTGGATCCAGGAGAAACAAGTCATGTATTGATCAAATCGCCACAACACGGATCATCATTGAACATAGCTTGGAATGGCAGTCACCTCTCTATCTCAACTTCATCGACTTTGAAAAGGCCTTCGACAGCGTCGATCGAGAGGTGATTTGGCAACTACTTCGCTAATACGGGGTCCCATAGACAATTATACATCTCATCCAACAGTTATACGACAATGCTGCATGCCAAGTAATCCACAACGGGAAACTTACGGAAGCCTTCGAAGTGAGGACGGGAGTGCGACAAGGCTGTCTACTATCGCCAATAATCTTTCCGATTGCAGTGGATTGGATAATGCGACAGACAACGGGCGATGATGAAACAGGCATAAAATGGACTCACACAAAAAAGGGCTTGGAGGATCTGGAGTTCACCGATAATATATGTCTGATTTCCCAAGAACTGGAAGATATGCAAGTGAAAAGTAACAAGTTGGCAGAAGAAGCATCAAAGATAGGACTTCGAGTGAGCATAGATAAAACAGAGGTGGTGAAGATTCCTGGCCAATACCAACAACAACAACAGACAAAAATCAGCCAGCATAAATGGGAGGAACCTGAAAGAAACAACCTGCTTCACCTACCTGGGAAGCATCGTTCCAACTACAGGCAGATGGAACTGACGAGGATATCAAAGCCAGAATCGGAAAAGCAAGACAAGCTTTCATTACTCTTAAGTCTGTGTGGAGGTCAACAGCACTCAGCATCAAAACGAGTATAAGATCCGGATTTTCAACTCCAATGTGAAGTCAGTACTATTCACTATACGGATCAGAGACTTGGCCAGCGCGTCATAAAGAGCATCTCCAGCAAACTAAAGACCTTCATCAACGGTTGTCTTCGCTCAATACTCAAGATCAGATGGCCAGCCAGAAAAGATCAGCAACAGGGATCTCTGGCGATGAGCGAACCAACCAGGAACCGATTGTGAAACAAATAGGCAGGAAGAAATGGAGATGGATTGCCCATACTCTGAGGTAACCATCAAGTGACATCACTAGACAAGCCATTGCTCGAGTGGAACCCGAAAGCGAAGTGGCCAGTTGGTCGTCAGTGGGAGGGTGACTTGTTGGAGGTCATGTGAAGAGGAGATGAAGGCGTGTGGGCAGACTTGGAGCGGGGTGAAAAAGTTGGCAGAGAACCGAAGGCAATGGAGACACGAGACTGAAGCCCTATGTTCCTCTAGGAATTAAAGGATACAATAATAATATATGTACGCATCATACTTGAATAAAAATAAGCTCGAACAGCTAGTTTTATGTGTTACTAGATGTTATTCCTTCATTATTGAAGCAAGCCAACAAGAAGATGCCATCCAAAGGACATGTGCTATGCTATTACTTCGTTTAAATTTTAATTACCACGAAGCAGATCTTTTGCTAAACTAAAAAATAAACGCTTGACTATTGATCTGCTATGAAAATTATTTAATTGCTTAGTTTAACGTTAAAATTTATGTTCTGTGAGACGTTTTAATATCTCAGTTTT